ACCCAGTTGATACTAGATTTTTTCCTCAACGACGACAGCATTATGTTGGGTTCTGTGAATTAGGAAGAATCTCCGTGTACAGATTTTTCAATTATTTTCAATTCCCACGTACTGTTTAAATCCCTGTCCTGATAGTGGAGAGGGTGAGTATAGATTTGAAATTAGAAGACAGTGACACATACCAGCATCAATTGTATGCAGAAAACTGGACCAAATTAAAATTGTGACCTGACACACGCAATTCGGTGTAGGACAAACTGCAAGAGAGATGGCTTCCATAGCCCCAGAGAGCTAAACTCGCTGCTTAAACAAGCATGATCACCAGAAAAAGCATGAGATACCGCAGCAAGCGGCTGAAGAGTGGGGGCAAACGGCTGTGTGTGGGAAAACGGAGAGGAAGTTGAATTTGCTGGAGTTGGGGGGAACGGTGGGCAGGGAAGAATAAAGGATAATTAAAAAAATAGTGGAAGCACAGAAAAAATACAACCAAAACCATTTCGGGGGTGATAAGGAAAATCCTCTTCTTTTCTACCACTGAAAAATATTCAAAACCTTCCTCTTGGAGAAATAGCACTCAACATATGCCAATTTGCACCTAAAATCTCCAAGATAACCAGTCCCACGTGACTGTGAAAAACATTGGCTGAAACAAATATGTATCAACATGATGAAATTTAGATTATCAGATTACAAAAAAGCTGTCTGTTCCCTGTTCCCCCCCCCCCTCCTTCTAGCAAACAAAAGGAAGAAACATGAGAGATTTAACAAATTCTGTTCCCAGCTTCATTTTTGCTATTGGTTTTATGGGGGTGAGGGATTTGTTCAGCTGTTACAGAGATGGTCACAACATAAACTGTTTAGATAGATGACGTTTTTGCTTTTTCCTGCTAGTCTAAAAGCCATTGATGTTACAGACAGTTTTTCTTAAAGATGTTGTGTATGGAAATTATATTTACCTCCTACAATGGTAGGAGGTGTAATGTCTCTTATTTTGCAGTTTCTGCGTCCAGTATATATATTAAAAAAAGAGATGGATACTGTAGATGGCTTAGCTACAGCATGTTGCCATACGCAGCTTCTTGCTCAGACTTAACGTAATTTCTATTTTTTTCTATTTCTGTGAATATTGAATGAGAGAATGAGAAGACTACTTCATTTGAAAGGCTTATTTAATTTCCCTTCACTTCACTTCCTTTGTTTACTGAATTACATTTCCATAGGAGAACGGTATGTAGAACTGTCTCCCCTGACTCAATGGTTCAAATGAGCTATGAGTAAAACTATTTAGATATAATTCACAACCATGTTTTATTAATAACAACTAACTAAGAACGTTACTGTAGCTCAATACGTAGTGAATTTCTGCAGGCTTTTATCATTATTGTCAGAACCTTTTAATATTGTGTAACTGTAACTTAATAGAGCTTTTAATAGATCTGTAATGTGTCATTAAAAGTTATGTAAATGACTATTTCAAGACTCTTAATCAAACGCTCGTAAAGAGCGTTTACTCCTTTTAAAGTCAGCCCTCAGTTGTATCAATGACTTTTCTAACATACATCTGTATCGGAAAGACAAGTTGTAGTCACGTGTCATGAAATTTCTGCTTTTAAACCAAATCCCTCCTTTTGGAAAGCAAACGCAAAAGATTCCACACTCTGTGTTCTTTATTGCTTTTCTGATCGGAAGGCCAAGTAAGCACTCAAGTAAAGAAAGGACTAGATACACCAAAAAAGCAATGACAATGTGATTTTTTTTTTCTTCAGCCTTTGGCACCTCAACATCATTCCTTTGCTGTTTTTCTGTGTACAATATATATATTGTTTAATCAAGTAAGTGGAGTTGCCCAAGAAACCAGACCTCAAATTCAAAGGTGAGAGCTCACTGCCTACTGGCATCTGTGGGCAAACACAATTGTGCCAGGAGAAACTACTTTGCCTGGCAAAAAAATTTCCCTGCACTGAAATAGGGTAAAATTTGCCATGCTAGAGCAAATCTTGGAGCATTAAGTTGCATTGTGTGTTCATTTTTTTTTTTTCCCTTAGGCATAGGAGATGCATTCCCACATAAACCCATTTGTAAGTTTACAACTGACATAAACCACTGGTAAAAACACCTCAGAGAAGAAATGTCCATCGGCTTTCAGACACCACTGAAAAATCATTGTATTTCTATGTACACATTGACTTTTGAGAATTACGAACACTGATGGGCAGGGAAAACTGTCATATTTCTCAGCTGATTATGAAAACTTTTTTTTTCCCTTCTGTTTCTCGGCAAACTGTTTGCTTGTTGCTGTTAAGATTTATATATGCCTATTATCACATTCATAGAACTTTAGAAATATTTCATATCAACTTTAATTTCATTATCAAACGTTATACAATGTGGATCACAAAATGTCAGAGAAGAGCTGTCTCAGTGAACATGACTTTAAAATTTTCTGGTACTATAGTTATTTCTGTTTATTTTTCTTGAGAATGTATTTTTCTCTATTTGAAGAGCCAGAAATTGTCTTTAGGGAGTGGGTTATTGCATAGAAAATACGAATTTGGAAAGTTAGGCTTCATGCTGGTGGTAGAATTATTTTGAAGAATAAGACAGTAACAATTACGTCCTAAAATACGTTTCCATTAAATAGGAACCACTAAAAAACTTGCTCTCCTTGTCAACTAAACTTTAGGCTTTCGGTACAGTTGGCTAGCAATCTGAACTGGAATCACAGAAAATAAAATTCTCAGCTGATTTATTAGTTCAGCAAATGCGGTGGCTTTAAGACGGCTGTAATGGTGAATTTTCTCTGTGTTGAACACTGGCTCACAAACTTCATGTTAATTTTGAACCTATAAAGACCTTGAGAAGGAGGGAAGTCTAAAAATGTCATTGGTTCACTTACAAGAACAGCTGTTAATGGACCAGTCACTCACTGATAAAAACAAGACCGATTAAACCAACCCCATAGTGGGAATATAACTTGAGATACTAAATTTATAAAGATACAAAAATCCTGTATCAGAAGATAAAAGAAGACACATAAGGAAATGTGACTTTTTTTTTTTAAACTTTTGTTTCCCAGAATCATTTTGTTGAAAACAGTAACTCACAATGACTTCAAAGGGGTCAGAACTTCACCCATTTTCCTGCTTCTCTCCTCGTTTATTGAATTTGTTAGGAAAATTGTTTCCAGAGAGTGAACAAAGTAATCCATAAACAGGAAAAACTAGTCTGAAACTCTATTAATAACCAACTTATTTTTATTAGAGCAAATACAGTTGTGAAAACTGTACAGTGTACATTTTGGGTCAAGAATTATAAATAGAGAAACTCATAGATAAAGAGTTCATTCTTTGACAGCAAGAAACTTTAAATAGACAAAATGACATTATTAAGTACATTGGCAGGCTTCATTGTGCTGTCCAAAATGTAGTGTACAGTATAACAACCAATTATAAATAGCCTTTCATGTAAAATACAGCTGTGCACATTTTAGAAAAATACCAACAATTTGTTTGAGCTTTGTTTTAAAAAAGCTTATAAATCATAAATATTTATAAATGGTACTAACATGCTTACTTAAATTTATAAACATTTTCATAAGCTTTGTTACCCATTATTTCCAGAGCATAAAGTATTTTAAATAAACATTTAATAGGAATTTAATACGTCAGTTACAAAATTACCTCTCCATGTAAGCAGACAGGGGGTGATTTCACTGTTGGATTTTGTCCGTTATGTCAAGGCTTACACAGTAACTGTTAAAATTTTGTTCTCATTTAAAAATTACTTTCCTAAATTTAAAACACAATTTAAACTGTTTTAAAAAATAAATACACAAGTTTTATTTTCATTTGCTCTCTTTCTGCTTTCTTCTTTTATCCACACTGGTCAAAACACAGGATTCTCAACATACTTCTGTAAAAAACACCACGGTGTTACTGCCCTGCTCGGAGCTGCTTTGCTGCACGATATTCAGTCCATACCTATGTTATTTTAATAAGCTGCATCAAAAGATAGCTCATGTACTTTGTAAGAATGTTGCCCATTAAACCATGCAAACACTTAGAAAGTTTACAAACAGGTTCAAAAACTATACTGTATGAAAGATTTTCTAATAGAGATAAAATAAACCATAATACAAGCCCTTTGCTTTTTGTAGCTTTAAATTATTTACTTGCCAAATGATCACACCACGTATTTTCAGTAAATAAGCATGCTTTTGATTAATATAGGGTACAATAATTACAGTATAATGGCACATAAAAGAAACATGATCACATCATTTGAACAAAGGGCTGCAAAACTACTTAAGACAAACTTCCCAAATGAAAAATTTTGAGGCTTTTTTAATGCTGAGGTAAAATTATAAATGGACTTGAAAGACACTGAAGGCATCAAATCGATAAACAATCACTTAACATTTCTAAACGCTCTACCTGAATGTATTCAATTCAAATCTAGCATTTTAAAATTATGATAATTATGAGCATTAGCGAGCTTAACTGTCATTGGCATTAATCTGCACTCAGACAAGACTTTATTTTAACCGCTGGCAAAATACCTCAGTGTTGAAACATAGTAATTCAAATCACCAATTACCACAGCACCAGAATAATAATTTAAAAAAAAAGAAATGAAAAGTCAACATGCAAACCCTGTATCTCATCTTTCTTGGCTTATTCTGATATTCCACCTCCTGTTTAGAACGTGCTGATACCAACTTAAGATTCTTATTCTTTTATTATGAAAAATTTTGCTTGCCATTGGCATAAGCATTTGAGCACTTTTAGGAAGATATCAACATCTTTGAATTTTGCAGTCATGGTATATTACTCACTAAACCTTAAAGTAAAACAGCTCTTCAGGTTTAGGAAAATGAATTTAAAAAATTTATCCTCGGATTAGAAAAAGAGATTTCATTTTTTGCTTCTGCTGCTAGGCAGAACTGGTAGCTCTCTTCAGGTTGGACTAGACACTATGTTATGGCTATACATCAAATTTCATAAACAACGAGTGAACAGAATCATGCACAGGCAAATGAAATTCGATCTCCCAGAACACTGCAGGAGATGTTAAAAGCAGCAGGTAATGGAATAAGACTGGTGACTGATGCTGCTAACTATTTCTTCTAATGAGATAGGAGTGAACGCTGGAATCACTTCCACAGCAACAGAATCCTCTGACCACATTCCTCTGGCAGTCGTTTTCCCATCTCCCCACTAAAAACATCAGACGGTAAAATAGTAAGGCAGCTGTTAGCTTCCATCAACAAAAAGTGCAGCTCCGTACATTTCCAGTTTAGTCACACTCTGCTGGAACAGATGGAGAAGCCAACGCACTTCACTGGCGGGGCTGCTTCAGCAGATTATTTTGTTTGTTTTCCAACATGGCTGCTTGCTTCAGCTTTCAGAGGACCCCAAAGCCACGAGCCATCAGCAGAGAAACTGCTCTGGGCCCCTGGCTGAATTTTCCAAGTTTCATCTCTCTTGCGTCCCATCCTAATTCCAAGCCTCCTTCCCTGTGTCTGAGTATGACAGGTGCCGTTTAAAAGGCTGATGACACAACTGCAGAGAACTGTGGGCTAACACCACTAGTTGTCATGACTTCACTGAAGGGTCAAAACAGTTACATTATTAAATAACTATGTTGAATCACATTCAGGCATAGCTAAAATTAAAGTAGGGAACATTAAAAGTATGCAAAGAAATTAAATCTTTATCGTTTGAGGTGGGGTGGATATGGTGATTTTATACGAAAACAAGACCTTTCTTACCTTTCCTAATTCCAATCAAGTTAGAAAATGGACAAAAAGAATGGCTAAACCAATATTCAACAGCATTACCAGGGCGATCATGACTGAGTTAGGGCCCTGAAAATAAAATAAAGATAGCAGAATTAACGCAACCTTCCACACAGTGCACAGCAATGAACGTGACCTGACTTTACCATTTCTAATGGGTTTGACCTTGCTCTGAAGGTTTATCTAAATGTTAAAGATACAGACTGCTTCTGAAACATAGCCATTACCCTTGGTATTCAGGTGGGCTAAATATCAGCTGTGTGAAAATGAGCTGGACAAATACAGGTGAGAGTATATTATTATACTGTTCTTAATCACATGGAGATTAAACCATCTGATAAATGTGACTGCATAAGCAAATGAAAACAAACCTATCAACACAAAAACAATACCAGCTTAAAATAAAGCAAAACAAAGCATTTGAACTACTTTAGGAAAGCCAGAGTGCTGCTCTTCATCCTTACCGTATGTTCCTTCTCTAATTCCGTTTCAAAACAGACATGACAATGTGTTTTATGAAAAGAATACCCTGTTTTTGATAACCAAAGGAAAAAAAAAATTACTTACCATTGCACTAACATACCTAGCAACGTTTCCATCACAGACTAAAAAAAAATTTTACACCTGCAAAATTAAACTTGTTTTGATTTACTCTGACACATCTTACAGACTTACGTACTGAAGAAATGAAACCCTTCCTAGCTAGAGCTAAATCTGGTTAGAAAACTTAATCATTACATAATTTTAGTCTTTTTGTGAAGCCAGAGAACAAAGTTTTTAATTCTTTTCAGCAATTTTGGATAATTTTTTTTAAACACGGATGCTTTCTAATGAGTAACCTGAAATAATGTCCTGAACAGATGCAAATTCTCAGTTCTTCTGTTCTCCTCTTACCATATTTAGTTTACTATAACATATTTTCACAAAGACTTGTATATGCCTAGATTTTAAGGTGGCACATTTACTATAAGTAGAAACAGAAAAACTCTTCATTCAGACAATACTTTCCTAAATCACAAAAAAGCCCACCAAAAAATCTCTGCAGATAACTATCTTCTGAGCTACATAAAGATCGCTAGCTTGCATAAGAAGGTATATATTTCATTAGAAACGGCATAATTTTTTTTCATTTTCCACATAAGGCATGCCTTGCAGAAGTTCATTGTGCTTCATGACAATGCTAACATTAGCTATATAATTTCTGGAATGCTAAGGAGTAAGAACTTGCTATTATTCATTTACTGCAGCAGTGGAACTATTGAATGGTTATTGTGTCATTATGATACCACACGCTCTCATCCTGAAACACTCTCATTAAACACTTTCTACCAGAACACACCTTTACACAGTAGTTAAGATGGCAGGCCAGATGTGGACTGCTAAGCTCTTGAATAAGTCACAAAATACGTTATGTCAAGTACTCCTCAAATCTCTGGGGAGTCTAAACTCCATCAGCCCCTCTGTCCATAAAGGCCATAAAGTTCCCTTTGCACCTACACAGCAGTATCTGTTTCACAGGCTGAGGAACGGGGTGTTCAAGTTCAAACCATGACTGAGACTATCAGGATGCTACTTAAACGTTGCCATAGGGGTCACGGTATTGGCAGCAAGCTTCACATTTTGCTTCATGGCAGAATGTCTAACATGTTCACTAGGAAACTGAAGACTAGGTATTAGGGCATATTAGTCAAAGGGATTTTGAATAACAAGTTCCCACCTACCAGTGGTGTGTTTTCACCATCAGGTCACAAAACAGAAGTGGAACTATGCTCCCTCCTTCTTACTGGAAGTGAGCCACTATGTGTCAAAGAATGAGAGACACTTGGGGACAGAGAAGGGGCATAAAAGGAAAGCACGACTCCAGATATGGTTCCATTATTGACCACGACACTGTAAGCAGCCTCGCTGTAGTAGTGTGTAACTCAAGGTTAATTTCTTCTTTCTCTTTCTGTCATGGTGACAATTGGGTACTCCTGTACTCTTCTGTTGTGAAGGAGATCCACATTGCCATCAGGATTCCCACCAAAGGCATTTGGGAATTGTGAGATTTATGCTGTATTGGACAACTTTGAGTAGTAAAACATGTTTCACTTGAAACAACAGCTACTTTGAGAATCTCTCAGTTTTGCTGTCTTGGAATGTCAGTGTCACCACCCTTAGAGTGAACCTTTCATTTAATGACTTTTCCTTTTGCAAAAAAAATCCCAGAATCTCATGACAAACAAGAACAGCACATACATGCTAATGTTACATACCTCTCCACAGGAAGTGTGATTACATTATTAATTTCCACTAAGATCTGGATTCAGCATCTCTGTCTCCGGTGCTAAGGCACTGGACCAGGCTGTCCAGAGAAACTGTGGACACCCCATCCCTGGAAGTGTTCAAGGCCAGGTTGGATGGGGCTTTCAGCAACCTGGTCCAGGGAAAGATGTCCTTGCCCATGGCAGGGGGATGGACTAGATGATCTTTAAAAGCCTTTTCCAACCCAAACCATTCTATGATTCTAATAGGGACTCCCTGTGTGATCAAAATCAGGTCAATTGATCCTTTGTAGTTTGGGATCCCACCTAAAGATTTTACAGTTATACTGCACCAGGAATTGCAAGGACCTGTGAAGGAGATCACTGCCTGATACTATTAAAATTCATTGAGATTTGGCCGTCTCATGCTTTGCATATTTGAAAATAACATCCACGGCAATCAAATTGGTTTACTACTGTTGAAGAGAAATTTGGACCCATGGGGACTTCAGAAGAGCCAGGAACTCATTCATTACCTGAAATACACCCTGAAATAGCATCCTGATAGCTGCAAGACAGCTTTTGGCTGAATGGCAAGTTGGGACTGCAGCTCCAAGAGCAACTTGGTACCAGTACTGCACAGTCTTATGGAATTAAGCATGGTGGAAGGGGAAGGGACTTCTCTATTGATGCATCTGTCAGTCAGGTTAGGTATAACAATCTCACCACAATAACATTAGATAAATTAGGCTAAAAAACCTAAGGGCTATGGTCTGAATCAAGAAATCTCATCTACAAAGACAGAAGAAAGTGACAACTTAAGAACTGGGTTGTTAATTTTATATGAAGATCAAAGAAAAATGTGTTATCTGTTTATGACAATGAGTCTATGCTTTATACAAAGAAGTAAATCTCATCTCCTTTGGTCTGCTATGTGCATTTTGTCTCCTCTTCTGATAACTACAACTTTCAGCTCAAAGCAGAGTATCCTGATATACTAAAAAATGATCAGATAATACTTGTGGAGCACATGGTTATTATGCAATAAACTACTACCTGTTTCATAGACACCTACGAAATGAGCGTTTAATGCTTTAAGACAAATACCATAAATAAGACTTTAGTGTCCTGCAAGGGCTTAAAATAGCAAAAGCCAAAATTAGTCTGAGCAGTTCAAGAGTGACTAGAACAGGTGCACTAAAGAAGCTGTAGTAGAAAAACTCCAGTCCTGCTTAAAAACTGCCCTTTCAGCTTCCAGTAAGTCAGACACTTACGTAGTTAAAAATATAACCCTACGATTAGTTTTCATTTGAGGAGGGAAGAAAGTGATTTTCCTAAAATGTAGTGCCAGGAAGCATTAAGACTAGGCTTGCAATCCCATTGCACTAGGAATGTCCATTAAATTTAGCATAAAGTTCTTGTTCAGAGGGTTTTTTTTAGGATTGTGCAAATACTGATCTATTTTTCTAACATCATGGTAGTCATATCCTTGACTGACTGGATGTTAAGCGAACAAAGAGATGAGAGTAGAATCACATTGGGTAACATTCAGCAAAATAGAATGATTTTAGATACAGGTAAAAACCACACTAAACACTCTGTGTGGCTTAAAAATCTTTACCTACAAAATGAAAAAATGGTAATATAGGAGAACATTGTGCCTGGGCTTGTACCTGACCTAGGGCAACACATAGGCACATATCAGGCAAATAAAATGTGTATTCATGAATGTACACTACGACGGTATTTTTTGCAATTCGAACCTACTTTTTACCCAAACCCAAGACGATGTCAAATTAGCTCATATTCAAGGTGGGAAAGCAGCATGCAAGCTGATTCTGGGACCAGAGGCTGCTAAGGAGCAATTAGAAACAACAGTTAGTACTGGTTTGTGGTCAAGCGTCTCTGTGCACACTTCACACTGTGGTAGACACCAGATAATTTGAAGGTGCCCAATTCTCAGTGAAAAAGGGATGATTTACCTCTCTTTTATCAGGGTAAATGCTTGCAAACAGACAGCTATTTTGGAGCAGCTGATGAGTGGTGACTTTCATCACCGTGCTTTATGCATGTTTTCACCTTGATAAAACTACGACTCTTTCTTATGGGCTCTGAAATTATTTTAACTTTGAATTTTGAACATTAGTAAATAAATACATAAGAAACACATTTATATGTGTGGCATAATAAGTATATGCTCATATTTTTAAAGTATAATGCTAGAAACAGGGATATCTAGAGAATCAATACTGCTCCTATAACTAACTGATTGCACAGATGATATTCACTGACATTCTTAAGGACATAACAGATTCACAGAAAATATGATGCATGAATTTGATTACTAAAACAGATGCTGCAGACTTTTCTGTAAATAAAGTTGTTTAAAGTTCTTAATCCAAGTTAAAGTTTATGTTTCATTCAGATGTGAGAAATGGCTTTGATGTAGATACGTGGAAGGAGGAACTGAAAAATCTTACATTGTCTATCTATATTCTTAATGCATTATCACTGGAAACTTGGAAAAAGTACAGCACAATTTTATACAGCACTTTCAGATAATCTAATGAAAGTGCTCAATAAATGTTGAGATTCATTTTTGCATTCCAAAAACATGTTTTCTCGTTCTCTTTTCATGAGAGTGAGAGTTCTTTTCTCTTTACATTCCTTAACAAATACATTTTTAAACTTTTATGGAGAATCTAAGGCAGATTTACTCTCAAACCATGACAAAATCATTTCTCAGGATGACTATAAAGCAATTATTGACTAAAACAAAGTAATTCCCCAATGCAGCCTTAGAATTCTGAAGTTTCTGAACATTTAGAAGTGTTTGGGATAAAGAGAAGTATGCTAATCTGGTTTGTCCTCCGTTATCTGTGCACTCTTAGGTTAGCCACTGCCTAACTCCAGCGCCCTACTGAGCTCGGGCCAGGAGCACTGCAGAACAGGCTATTGGTCTTTTGAAGCTGGAAGGTGACACTAAAAATTAAAAAAGAAAAATCTCCACGCAATGTTAACAGTCATTCTGTACTAAGTCTCTCCCTCAGTCTGCTAGGACAGTAGGCTTCTTCTTTCTGCTTTAATTGTTTTAGGATTTTTATTCCTTTCAGGATGTTAAAGAAATAAGCACGTGGGAAATTGATTTTATCAGGGCAAATTTATAGACACATATGGAAGACATCTTTGAAAAAAACACATACACCTACCTATATCTTAAAATGCCGTTATGTTAAAAATGAGTTCCTAAACTCCACCTTCCTTCCTTATTGAAATGCTGATAATAAGAATAATGTAATTCAGGTGCTCCAAATGAAGCAGAGGGACAGTTCCCAGATAACCTGCAGTGTCACTAAACAGACACTAGCTAATGTACAATATCTCATCGCTTTTCTACCTTTCCTGATAACAGGCTACAGGTTCACAGTCCTTATCCTGATTATTCTAGAAGTTCAATGAACTGCTCTTTAGGTGCCCTAAGTGGTCTCTTAAGGTGAAGACTCCCTCAGCTCCAAACCATTATTTGGTTTGGATGGAATGTAGGAAAAATGTAGGATGGAATGTGGGGAAAAAAAAAAGACTATTTCTAGCCTTTTATTTTCATCAGAGCTGAACAAAAAATTCCAATTCAGGCTAAAATTCTGTGCATGCTCACTCAACATTTACAAGCACGACAGCTTTGTGTTACCCTACATAGGAGTCATATCTGTGAGATTTGAAAGGTTAGAGGGCTGATATCAGCTGTAAGACAGATTTGCAGATTACAAAACCACTGTGAACATCTACTTTGATCCGCACAAAACAGAATATAATTTTTTTGAACTAGAGGATATCATCTTGGCAAAATGCTCATTATCGAACTATTCAGTGACGGCTCCAAAAACTTGGCATTTGGAAACTGATGTTAAATTTAATTAATATCATTAAAAGCAACTTAAAACAAGACTTTTCTCTAAATCTGTCTAGCTGTTGGATCTTCTTACACATTTGCCTGTTAGCATGGGAAACTATTTTATAAAGTGTACTTACAGAAAGTGATTTAACGTGTCAGATTTTTTTGGCCTTGAATCTTTCATTATAAGACGTGTTTTAATCATTCTTGCAGCTCTTTGTGGGACTTTCTCTTAAGTGTTTTTTTTCATTTTAAATCTCTGATTTATGGACACTGTATTTTATTCCAGCGGTGGTTGCACCAGTGCCAAAACCAGATAAAACAGACTCCCATGTACTCTTGCTTAATCTTTCCTGTTGATAAATCTAAGGATTATATTAACATCTCTGAACAGCAGCAGCAGACTGGAAGCTCATGCTCATCTGCCTCTCTTGCTCCAATCCACGAACCTTTTCCAGTTCCAATCCTGCATGGCCAGGCTCTATTAACTGTCTTTCAATATACAATCTTACATTTTGCTGTGCTGCACATGGATAATTATACTTGTACTTTTTTCAGCAGGTGATTTGGATCAAGTTGTACTGGTGATCCATTGTTTTCATTATTTATCAGTTTCCTGGTCTCCATCTCTTCTGTAAACTTCATGGGTAATACTTTTATGTCTTCTTCCATGTCATTAATAAGAATGTTAATTAAAATACAGTGGCAGAATTAAACCAAGAATGACCTCCCCAGAATAATATCAAATTACTGGTGTTTTTCTAATTAATTTTTGAGAACGATCAGTCAGTTTTTTAAAAAATATTTTAAAGTGACATTTAGCCCTTGCGTTACTCTGGCTTGTCAGAATACATAACTGTGTAAAAGCAAATCAAGTGACCTTCTTGACTGAGGACATGATTCCTCTATCACACCTGAAGATGTCAAACTTGTTTGACAAGATCTTTTACAATGCATGTTGGTTGGAAATTCTTACACCTCTTTATTTTTAACTCTTTATTAATGAAGTCTTGTGTCAATTATTCAACTGTTTTGCCTGAGATCAGTGCCAGGTGATCTGGATCTCATTAAATGGGTCATTCTGCTTATCCCATCAATAATGACGCATTGGGGTTTTTTTTCTACTGGAGTACCAAAAATGATTCAAAGAAACAATGCTTATAAAAAAGAAACACTATGACAATTATCTAGACCTCTTCATTTGCCAAAGGTTAACTTTAGGGTCTAAAACTAACATTTTCCTGAGTTTCTCTTGGCCCAGAAATAATTTTATCATCACCATAGTTTCTGAATTTGGTAACCTGGCTTTTTCTTCTAACACGGAATAGAAATGCTATTAGTCATCTCTCCTTTTCTGCAAAACCATTGATAGTTCTATTATTACTAAATAATAACGAGATTCAGATTCACATTGATCTGAATGTATAGTTTTAAAACTCTTTCTCCATTTCCAGATGAAAAAGAAAGTAAAATTTTTCACGTCACTGTAAAAGGCAAGCATTGTTAGAAGTATGCATTTTTAAACGGTTTATATTTTCATGCAAATTGCCTATTTTTAGAGCCTACAATCAATACAGAGAAGAAAATGAAAATGGAGATTGTCTGGACTGGGTCAGACCCCAGGCCAGCATCCTGTCTCCAGCAGTAGTTATCCACTGCAGTACACCGAACATTGCTTTTTGGAAGGGGGGAAATGCATATATGTATATCTGCAAATATGTATCTACATATCTACATGCACACAAAATGCAGATATATACACACACTAACACGTTTTGCATTTATGGATGCAATAGGGATTCATGTTTCCAAAGTCTGTCAGTATCTGGCTATCAACTATCCCTTTGCAGTTATCAAAAAGGATAATATAAAGGACTGGAATATTTGTTCCTCACTCCAGTCTGGTGTAGTGGGTTCTAGCTAGCAGACTGTATCCAGAGGGAAGATTAGACAGAAGTGAGCTTTGCCTGTCTTTAGGTTGCAAAGCTTAGCACGAGGAGGTCAAAGAGCAGTGAAAGTGAAAAGGTTTCTTGCAGTACTCACCGAGCTGTTTTCTACTTCTTTTTCCACTGCTGAATGTGACTCATTACTAGCTGGGTTCTTTGGTGCAGCAAATTCTGGTTTCTTAATTTTTGTGTCAGGTTTGTTTTCTTTGGCATCTGGCTTACCCCCAGATCTAGCAGGACTTGGCTTCTGTGAGGGTGGTACCCGTGCAAGTGTTGACGGTGATGGGTTGACATATTCATCTTCTTCCTCAAGCTCCTGCGGAAGCACTGTTGGATTCACTTTTACATAATAGCCATGGTAGTGACCATGCAGCTCCCCGTTCTCTGTGCTGATGGGATTGTGATGGGCTGAAAATTTTGGCTGGTGTTTCACAGCTACTTCCTCCTTCATTGGTGCTTTTGAATATAAAGGCTTGTTAATCGTGGGTGTTATATTCTCAGTGGTTAAAAGCTTTTTTTCTTGACTGAGTCTTGCCCCAGAAGTGGAGCTTTGCCTTTTCAGTTGTTTTGAAGGAGAAGGCTCAGAAGAAAGAGGAGGACTATGCCTTGGACTTGCTTCCGGGGTTCGAGGGGGAGTAGTACCTTTTCGATAAAAGTGAGGTGACTCTTTGGGGGTAGGTGTTTTTTCCCGAACTTTTTCTTCAGATTTTTCTTTCACCTCCATTCCTTCTTGAAATTTTTGTTTGATATAATCAGGGCCTGAAAAACAGTGTAATCGAAATATTATGATTAAAACAAAAACAAGACTTCACAGTAAAACTGTTGCATTGGGATGTCGGATTGGACTGCCTTGCTAAAATGCTGGCAGGGGCGGGTGTTACCAACAATTCACCGACATCCACAGTGATTTACTCTAAATCGCTTAGTAGCTGGAGTTACTGTACTTCTTGGTAATTGTTAGGACTACTTACTTACTTGGTTCAGTCAGTTTATGCCTTCAGCTTTCCAAAGGGTCATAGGACATAAATTGTCTCTGAGTGAAGTCCGAGGGACTGAAGACTGACTTACCGTAAGTATCTATCATTCTTTCTTTTTCTGAGGCATGTCTTGAGGTCTGTTTTGCTTAATTACCCCAATCTATTTAACTTCTACCCTCATGATCACAGTATCTGTTTGACATTGAAGTAATTAACCATCAAAATGAAACGTCTCTTCTGCCCTTATAACCTACAGGAAATACAGCTTGAATCATGTTTTTTCCTTTTGTGTGCATGTTAGCTTGTCTTATATACATATATACGTGCCTTGAACTCTCACACACTGGCTTTGTCTTCCTAATCTGATCACTTATCATATGAAGACCCAGTTTAACCACTCTAGCCAGCAACACAATTCCTGCTTAGACATTAAGAAGACAAATTCTCTCATATTCGCCAGGGAAATACTTACAGAGCAGTCAGTATGAAGAATCTCCTCCCCCCAGATCCTAGCTAAACACCCATGAGCACATTCACCACTAGGACTCACTTATCAAGGGGCATTTCTATGCAGGTGTTTACATAAAGATAAGCTGGCTGAGATGCTTTGCTCCAGGTTTTGGTTGTCTGATTTAACAGTTCAATGCTAACACTTCAGCAAACACTCTGCTGAAGAAACAAAATTGCTGTAAATCTGTCTGTAGAGTGGACAGCGTTTTCCCTTTTTCTTCCCAGAGGCCACATCCCAGATTCTAGGATCAGGTCCGTTAAGAAGTCAGAAGCTGGGAGCTCTGTGAACAAAGAACTGCAATGATCTTCCTGTATGTTCAATAACGGCTTCTGCCAAATACATTGCAACTCTTTCTCCACTTCGATCTTTGCTAGCACCGCTGCTGTCCTTTGATTTTTTTTGAATCTTCTGTAAGTGAGGCTTATCTGTGTTTTATGCCATAGCAAAATTCTGTGCCTAGAGAAGAATGTTCACATTCATTTTTTTGGCTTTTAAAGAGGGTTCTAGCTGTGTTAGGCAGATACAGTGTTTTTGCAGATGCCAGAAGCATATGTATCACTACACAGCACCAAGATGAGAGGAAGGAAGAGCAGCATGAAGTTTTTGAAAGTTACTGAGTCATCTGGTTAAGTAAGCATTGCTGAGAAGAAGAATTACTCAGCGTGCAATGTCTTTTGAGCAGGAAAATCACGACGGTTTTGGCATCTCTGAAAACCAGGGGTGGAAATAGGGAGCTGTTGAGACAGAAGGCTAAATGTAGACAAGCCAGGATTTGTTCTCAAATGACATTTGAGGAGAAAGTTTTGAGGACTTAAGCCTGCACAGAGGCAGAGGACTACAGCCTTGGTTCTTATGGCTTTTTATAATCTTCCTGGTAAAAAGGAAAGGCAGCACAACACAAATTAAAAGTTGCCATATATAAAGTTACAGTTATGATCACCATTCACAAAATTCTCCATCACGTAGGGGATTTCCTTCCATCTTCACTGAGATGCATAAGGTAACACTGAGGGTTTTAACATGCATAAACTTTGGCTTTCTTCTCTTTCCACACGGGATATAATTACTGGTGTAAAGAGAAAATAATAGCTAAAAGAGCTCTGCTTAACCTTTATGCCAAAGCCATGGAGTTGTAAAATTGCAATGATTATTTATTATGGACACATCCACATTCACATTAGCTTGCTCCTTATGACTGCTGTGGTGAAAGCATCCCATACCTTCAGCCTTACAATGCTGCTCAAATGGCACCTGCTCTGTTCCTCACCTATCCAGAAAATTCACATCCTGTGACAGCTCTCCACCGTCCAACATTTGTAAAGATATGACTTCTACTAATATCTGACAGCACTTGATGTCAGATGAAGACATTTTTGTAAGGAACACATCTGGGCCTCAGAAATGTCACCCCTCTCCATCGTTTCCTAAGATCAACTAAACGCCTCCCAAGGCTGGTCAGAGGATCTCTCTCTTCTCCCGAGACCTCCAGACTGTGTTGGAATTTCTGAAACAAGATGGGAACCAGGTCTCGGCTGCCCATGTCTCCATGAGAGACTGGTAGGGTGAAAAACAGAAAACTTAAACCAAAACAGAAATACCATCTTTAACCGGAGTGTCCCAAAGAAGTTAAGTGTCAACAGGCTAAGAACGGCATATTTTTATTGGGTATTTGGCAATATTTGATGCTAAGTGACACTGAGGCCCACCAGAGAAAGCTGTAGCCATCTGCATCCAAGTAACATCTGAGGGTGTCTGACCAGACATTCAAGCAGTTGCTTTAAGACTCCCTCCCACCCCCGAGTACATCACATATGGCTATTAGATATACATCCCTTGCCTCCAATCCTGCCAGGCAGGTCTCTCCAACACTCAAATTCTTGGCTGTATGTTGAAGTTAGCTTTGGAGATTGTCCAAGGACTTTTTTTACGTCTGTTCACTGTATTCCATACAATCAGATTATGCACCTGTCTGAACCACTGACTCCAAGCAGCAAGAACACAGTTCCTGCTCCTTTCTGAGGACTAAGAATACTTGTCAGGGCTTACCTCGTCCCCTTTGTTAAAGGCATTATCTAACACTACAGACATGGGCAAAAGAGTCTTTTTTCTTCAGCATAAAAGCACTCTACAGCATGAGTTTAAAGGAATCAGGGCCAAGGGAATTTAGAAAGGGAGTCGCTAACATCTGATCCTACAAGATTTCTCAGCTGTCTGATCTTAATGAGGAACAGAATAGGATTTGAGAGTGGCAAGAAAGTAAGGTTGGATTGTCTGTCTAGGAAATAAACATGGACTTTTGTTCTTCAGTTTGCAGCTCAAGCAACCAGTATATATATATTCCTAGACATGACATGACTGAGTGCCTAAGGAGAATCTGGTCTGGAAAGCAGAACCAAGAAATGTTTTCTAACCAAGTAAACGTAAGCTTTCTTTGTGGGTAAACCTGTGTGTTTTCTTACGGTGACATGCTGGTCCTGAAAGGTCAGTCGGTTCAAAATTGATGCCCCTTTGCTGGTTGAAGAACAGTCATGGGGCAGTTTTGGCTCACACAGCCGTTGTGATGCCAGCAGCTGGATGGCACCATTAAAGTGTGCGTTAGCCAGTATTTGGGGGGAATAGCCTCTGAAAACCGAAAGACTGTGTGGACATGTGCGATGTACGCACATAGAGTCTCATACTGTCTGCTGGTCTGCTTGAACAGCATTTCATTGAGGGCTGTGGTGTGAGGGAAGTTTTGGTTTGGTTACAGACACACTCATAGTTGTTAGAAATCTAGAATTTCTTGTGGAGTGCTTTTGTAACATGTCCTTCCTCCTGGAAGGGCTCCAGCAAGTGATGTGACAGCATGGCTATCCCTGTAAATGAGAAGAGAAGGGTGCCCTGGTTCTGCCACAGCATTTTTAGAGAGGTGACAGCCACATGCTTTCCCCCACGGCCTAGTGAGGTATACGTATTGGCAGCATAGGGCTGTTTTGGGATTGTGGCTCAAGCAGTGTTTGAAAACGTTGCCTTGCAGGACACTGTAAATGCAGCCAGTGCTTCCCAAGAAGGCTAAGAAGAGACCTTGTGCCTTAGCAGCTCAGGATGAAATCTGAAGCTTGAGAGGTATTGCAGAATGTACTAGGATAGTGAGGAAAATGGCGTAGGTATGTATTTATATATAGGAGTTTCAGGTTGTACCCCTGCCTATTCAATCCAACCAGTTTCACACATTTTGGCCTCTTTGCGAAAGAGAAAAGATGAAAATGAGAGAAATGGGTGGGAGTGAATGAGGATGAGCTCAGAAAGTGCTGAAGGCAGTAGGATTCCTTATAGTAGGGCTGGTGACCCTTCGAGGAGCAATTCTGAATTCCATAGTCAATATGCATAACTGAGTAACCTGATGTAAATCTTATTTCCATAATTTAATAAGCTTTTGCCTCATTTTAGTATAATGATTTCTATATTCTCAAAATTATTAAGCTAATACTTCTTTTAACTGGAAAAAAGGACTTCTGTAGTGACACGTCGACCAAATCAAAAAATCTGATGTTTTGTGGCAGGACTGCAGGATAATGCATTTTCAAGTAATAGAAGAACACTTCTGTAGTTTTCTAATATTATAAAGGAACAGAGTAGTTAGTAATTGATAGAATTAAAATATACTAGAATATTGAATTAAAAATGCTACTATGTAAACTAAAATATACAATTTTCTAGTACATTTTAGTTCTGTATAGCACTATTTTCTTTAAGAGTTAATCCACTGCATCCTACTCTTTTGCAACTTTCCATGTACTCCTGTACGACCTTGGACATGTCGTAATGTCTTACTTGGTCCACACTCAGGTTTAAAAGCAGCGGACACTCAGGTTTAAAAGCTTTTCCCTGCACCAAAATTGTTTAAGACAGGGAATTCTGTTGATAACAACAAGCAATTCCCATAGGAAATATTTTTCACAGTGCCAGATGCATTCCTTCTTAGAAGGAATGTTGTAAGAAAATCCATCAGGCCTCCATTAGAAACTCCTCTCCCTGGGAGCAGCAAAAAAATTCGGGAGAGTAGGTTTCTCTGATCTAAACTTGAGACACGATGCAATACAGATGAGGACTTACCACCATATCATGACAGACGATGCCTATTCCTGCAGCCCTGGACCTGTACGTGACTGAAGCAGGTTCCCGTAAGACCCTATAGGTACGTAGAGGCTATAGGACTCTAGCAGCCTTATCACCTGGGTGTCTCTGGTCCCCAGCGTGGATCGGTACTCCCAGTTGTAAACAAGGTGGTT